AAGTCATTGTATTACCGAGAATAGCTAAGTAATTCGCAGTTCTTCATCAAACAATATTGCTGTTACCGGGTACAATGTTCTCCTGGTTCTGTTCGCTATGCGTCAGTTCATGTAAATCTTTCCAGGTTTTTCTGAAATCATACTGCTTGTCATTTCTTATAGCACAATATTCCATTATAATCATACACCACAGCTTGTTTAGCCATTCCCCAACTGATGGGCATCCCTTTGATTTCCAATTCTTAGCTTCCACAAAAAGTGCTATAAATATTTTTGTATGAATAGGTCCTTTCCCCTATTTTTATTATGTCTTTGGGATATATACCTAACAGTGGCACTGCTAGATCAAAGGGTATGCACAGTTTTATAGCCCCCTGGCATAGTTCCAAATTGCTCTCCAGAATGGTTGGATCAGTTCAGAACTCCACCAACAGTGCATTAGTGTCCCAGTTTTCCCACACCCCCTCCAACATCTATCATTTTCCTTTTTTGTCATATTAGCCACTCTGATAAGTGTGAGGTAGTAACTCAGAGTTGTTCTAATTTGCATTTTTCTGATTAATAGTGATTTAGAGCATTTTTCCATATGATTGTAGATAGCTTTAATTTCTTTGAAAACTGCTTGTTCATATCCTTTAACCATTTATCAATTGGAGAATGACTTGTATTTTTATAAATTTGACTCTGTTCTCTATATATTTGAGAAATGAGGTCTTTATCAGAGATACGTGTTGCAAAAACTTTCCCCCATTTTTCCGTTTTCCTTATAATTTTGTTTACACAGTCTTGTTTGTGCAAAATCTTTTAAATTTTATAAAATCAAAAATATCTATTTTACATTTTAAAATGCTCTATATATCTTTTTTGGTGCTAAATTCTTCTCTTATCCACAAATCTGACAGATAAACTATTCTATGATCTCTTAATTTGCTTTTGGTATCACCTTTTATGTGTAGATCATGTACCCATTTTGACCTTGTCTTGGTATATGGTGTGAGATGTTGGTCTATACTTAGTTTCTGCCATACTATTTTCCAGTTTTCCCAGCAGTTTTTGTCAAATAGTGAGTTCTTATCCCAGAAGCTGGGGTCTTTGGGTTTATCAAACAGTAGGTTACAGTAGTCATTTACTATAATATAATTTGTACCTAATCTATTACACTGATCCACCACTCTATTTCTTAGCCAGTACCAGATTGTTTTGATAATTACCACTTTGTAATATAGTTTGAGATCTGGTATTGCTAAGCCACCTTCTTTTGCATTTTTTTTTCATTGATTCCCTTGATATCCTTGAGCTTTTGTTCTTCCAGATGAAATTTATTATTTTTTTCTAGCTCTATGAAATATTTTTGACAGATTGATTGGTATGGCACTAAACAAATAGATTAATTTAGGTAGAATTGTCATTTTTATTATACTGACTTGGCCTACCCATGAGCAATTAATATTTTTCCAATTGTTTAGATCTGACTTCATTTGCGTGAAAAGTGTTTTATAGTTGTGTTCATATAGTTCTTGGGTTTGTCTTGACAGGTAGACTCCCAAGTATTTAATATTGTCTACAGTTATTTTAAATGGAATTTCTCTTTCTATCTTTTGCTGCTGGACTTTATTGGTAATATATAGGAATACTGATGACTTATGTGGGTTTATTTTGTATCCTGCAATTTTGCTAAGGTTGTCAATTTTAAGTAGTTTTTTAGTTAATTCTCTAGGATTTTAAAAATATAACATCATACCATCTGCAAAGAGTAATAGTTTTGTTTATCACTGACTATTCTAATTCCTTTAATTTCTTTTTCTTCTTTTATTGCTATAGCTAACATTTCTAGTACAATATTAAATAATAGAGGTGGTAATGGGCATCCTTGCTTCACCCTGATTATATTGGGAGGGCTTCTAACTTATCCTCATTACAGATAATGCTTGCTGATGGTTTTAAATAAATATTACTTAACATTTTAAGGTAAGCTCCATTTATTCCTATGCTCTCTTGTGTTTTTAATAGGAATTGGTGCTGTATTTTGTCAAAGGCCTTTTCTGCATCTGTTGAGATAATCATGATTTCTTTTTGGTTTGTTATTGATATGGTCATTTATGCTGATAGTTTTCCTAATATTGAACCAACCCTACATTCCTGGCATAAATCCCACCTGGTCATAGTGTATGATCCTTATGATGTAATGTTGTAATCTCTTTGCTAGTATTTTCTTCAAAATTTTTGCATTTATATTCATTAAGGAAATTGGTCAATAATTTTCTTTCTCTGTTTTGTCTTTTCCTGGTTTGGGTATCAGCACCATATTTATGTCATAAAAGGAATTTGGTAGGACTCCTTCTTCACCTGTTTTTCCAAGTAGTTTATATAGTATTGGGATTAATTCTTCTTTAAATGTTTGGTAGAATTCACTTGTGAATCCATCTGGTCCTGGGGATTTTTTCTTAGGAAGTTCATTGATGGCTTGTTCAATTTCTTTTTCTGAAATTGGGTTAAGTATTTTATTTCTTCTTCTATTAATCTGGGTAATTTATATTTTTGTAGATATTTATCCATTTCATTTAGATTGTCCAATTTATTGGCATATAATTGGGCAAATAGCTCTTAACAATTATCTTAATTTCCTCTTCATTGGTGGTGAATTCACCCCTTTCATTTTTGATACCAGTAATTTGATTTTCTTCTTTCCTTTTTAAAATCAGAGTAACCAATGTTTTTCTAGTTTATCATTTTACCCATAAAACCAGCTTCTAATTTTATTTATTAGTTCTATGATTTTCTTACTTTAAATTTTATTAATCTCTCCTTTGATTTTCAACTTGGTGTTTAATTGAGGATTTTTAATTTGTTCTTTTTCTAGTTGTTTTTTTTATTACGTGCTCAATTCACTGATCTGTTTTTTCTCTGTTGTATTGATGTAAGCAATTAGAGATATAAATTTTCCCCTAAGTACTGCTTTGGCTATATTATATAAATTTTGGTAGGTTGCCTCATTGCTGTTATTTTCTTTAATGATATTATTGATTGTTTCTATGATTTGTTCTTTGACCCACTTGTTTCTTAGGATTAGATTATTTAATTTCCAATTAATTTTTAATCTCTCCATGGCCCTTTATTATGTGTAATTTTTATTGCATTATGATCTGAAAAGGATGTGTTTACTATTTCTATTTTTCTGCATTTGGTTGTGAGATTTTTATGTCCAGTTTTTGTGTAGGTGTCATATATTACTGAGAAAAGGTATATTCCTTTCTTTTCCCATTCAGTTTTCTCCAGAGATCTATCATATCTAACTTTTCTAGAATTTTATTCACCTCTTTAATTTCTTTCTTGTTTATTTTTTGGTTAGATTTATCTAGTTCTGAGAGGGGAAGGTCGAGGTTCCCCCACTAGTATAGTGTTATTACCTATTTTCTTCCTGTAACTCATTCAACCTCTTCAAAAATTTTGATGCTATATCATTTGGTACATATATGTTTAGTATTGATATGACTTCATTGTCTATGGTACCTTTCAGCAAGATATAATTTCCTTCTTTAGCTCTTTTAATTAGACCTATTTTTGTTTTTACTTTGTCTGAGATCTTGATTGCTACCCCGCTCTCTTTGCTTCAGCTGAAACATAATAGATTCTGTTCCAGCCCCTTACCTTTACCATGTGTGTAACTCTCTGCTTCATATGTGTTTCTTGTAAACAACATATTTTAGGATTCTGGTTTTTAATTCATTCTGCTATCTGCTTCTGTCTTATGGATGAGTTCATCACATTCACATTTATAGTTATGATAACTATTTGTGTATTTCCCTCCATGCTATTTTTTGCTTGTTTATTCCCCCCTCTCTTACCCCCCACCTTTTCCCTCCTCACAAGTGTTTTACTTCTGATCACTGCCTTCCCAAATATACCCTCCCATTTCTACTAACTCTGTCCCTTTTTTACTTCCTTATAGGCTAAGTTAGATTTCTATATCCAACTGAATGTGTATGTTATTCCCCAGCCAATTTTGATGAAAGAAAGGTTTAAGCTTTGCCTGCCACCCACTCTCCTCATCTTCTCCTCCAGTATGATAGCTTTTTCATGCCTCTTCTATGTGGGATAATTTACCCCATTCAGTCTCCCCTCATCAAAGTCAACTTATATCCACACCCTCTGTCTACATATACTCCTTCTAATTGCTTTTATAGTAATAAGGTTGTTAAGATTTACAAATATTATCTTGCCATATGGAAATATAAACAGTTTAACATTATTAAATTTCTTATGTTTTCTCTGTCTCTCTTTTTGCCTTTTTATGTTTCCCTTGAGTCTTGTATTTGGAGGTCAATTTTTTAATTCAGCTCTGGTCTTTTAATTAGAAATGCTTAAAAGTCCTCTATTTCATTGAATGTCTATTTCCCCCCCCTGAAAATTATATTCAGTTTTTCTGAGTAGATGATTCTTGTTTGTAATCCTAACTCCATTGCCTTCTGGTATGTCATATTCCAAGCCCTGAGGTTCTTTAATGTGGAAAATGTCAAATCCTGTGTAATACTGACCATAGCTCCATGATATTTTAATTGTTTCTTTCTGGCTGCTTGCAATACTTTCTCCTTGATCTGTGAGCTCTGGAATTTGGCTATGATGTTCCTGGGATTTTTTCATTTTGGTATGTCTTTCAGGCAGTGATCAGTGGATTCTTTCAATTTCTATTTTGCCTTCTACACATACTTTTTAAAAAAATTCAATTTACCCATTGCTGACAGAGGCAGAGGTATGTTTCTTACAGGTAGTGATGGTTTCATAGGCCACTTTTTTAAACAACTGACATTCTTCAATTGACCTCTCCCTTACTACATTTTAGATAAATACAACAAAATATATCTAGACTATTTTTGGAGACATGCTAAAATTATTTTAGACATATAGCCAAGGCCTGGCTTTCTGTAAGGCTCTTGTAATACTCTAAAAAGAATTTGTACATTCTCATTATTTCTTTAAGTTTTGCTCTTTCTCCTGAACAGAGGAAAGTGACAGACACATTTGGAAAGAATGAATGAATGAAGAAAGAGGGAAGAGGACAAGCAAGGTAAGGGGTCCTAAATACCTGAGTTTGTGGAGGAAAAGAGGAAATTCTTTGGGTTATGTCAATGCCTGAGTAAAGCTCTGATTGAACCAAACCACATAGCCTATGCAATGTAGAATGAACAATTTCTCTCCCCATCTTTTCTCCCAACTCTTGCTGACTACCACCAAGTCCTGCTAATACACGATAAAATAAGATCTCCGAACAGGAGACCTCACTGATGTGAGCCTGAACAGGCCTCTTGCCTGCTCTGGGCTTCAGATTCTCCATTTGTAAAATAAAGGAGCAGGACTAGATTATCTCTAGGTTGAATCTTCCAGCTCCTTGAGTCTAATAGGGTTTTTGGGCTTCAATGACTTTGCTTTTGACCCTGGAGCAAAGTGTTACCAGAAGGGGAGAGATGGAGAAACAAAAAATGAAGGGCCTGCACCAATATACTCCTTCCACTAACCAAGCAAATGTGCTGGCTAGAGAAGGTATTATTTTTGTCTTCAGTGTTGCTCCTTGAGAATAAATAATGACTTGTCTAAGGTGGTTGGTTCCTTTTCATTCAAAGTATTCAAGAAAAGCCTGTGGATACTTGTTGGCTATGTTGTAAAAGGAATACTGACTCATATATAGATTTTATTAGGTAGACTTTGAGATCCATTCTAACTCAGAGATTCTACAATTCAAAACATATATGCTTGAAACCAAAAACTAATATAAAAACAAGAAACATTAGAAACATTATCACTCAAAACAGATATAAAGCAAGGATTACTGCTCTTTCTGCTTCTCTTTCAAAGTCTTAGGAGTATTAGAAGTAGCTGTAAGGAACAAAAAAGATATGAAAAGAATAAGCATTGGCACTTTAGAAGCAAAAACATTCCCATTTCTAGGTAGCATGATTGTATATTTAGGAAATCCAAGGCACTAGACTAGATTAAAAAAATTACTGAGATGATAATAGACAAGCAAAATAACAGCATATTATAGCTAAAAACCTAAAAAAAAAAAAAAAGAAAACACTCAAACACCCCATGTGCATTTCAATATCCAATCAACAAGGTAAAGCCTCAGGGCTACAGTGTCAGAGGACAGCCTAACCAGCTTATGGTGTGACTGGTTCTTATCAATAGCTGGCTTTCCTAGTTCCCTGGTTTCTTCCTGCTACCTGCAGACAGGCACAAATAAGCAGGGCCTTTTCCCAGAGCTCTACATTTCCTAGGAATCTGAGGACTGGGTATGGCTCCCCTCTGCCATGTTCTGAATGGGTAGATCCAATTGCAGACACATAAACTTAGGACATTTGATATAACTCTGTTTGGATAGATTGTTGACACCTCAAACTCAGCATGTCTCAAAGTGGGATTATCTTTAATTATTAGCCTGTTACTCCTCCTAACCTCACTATTTCTGTCAGTGACATTATTAATTCACCTAGGTCCCAAGTTTGAAATCTTGATATAACTCCTTAAGGTCAGTTACCGGTTTGTTTTGTTTTTATCTCAAGAGTGTTGTTTTTATCTCACAGTGCCTTTCTTTTCTGGGGCTGGGTTATTTAAGATCTCTATCTGGTTTTTTGACAGTTTAAATATTTTATATTCTTGAAGATAGTCTTTTTCTTTCATATTCTCAGTTTTGTTTATGTATAACTATGCATAATAAGTTCTGATTATTCTTTTTATTTCCTCCGGTTAGCTGTGACTTCACCTTGATCATTTGCTATTTTATTGATTTCTGCTCTCTTCTTTTTAATTAGATTAACTAAAGGTTTATCAAATTTGTTAGTCCTTTCAAAGAATCACCTTTTAATTTTATTTATCGTGTCTATGTTTTTTTTGGTTTTCAGCTTATTTCTCCTCTAAGTTAATATCTCCTCTTTTGTGCATAATTTAGGTTTGTTAATTTGTTGACTTTCTGATTTTTAAAATGCATATTTAGTTCATTAATTTTCTCCTTTTCTGTTTTGTTAATGTATGCTTATAGGGGTATGACTTTTTCCCCCGAAGACTGCTTTAGCTGCATCTAAGGAATTTTGGTATGTTGTTCCATTTTTATAATTTTCTTTCACATAATTATTAATTATTTTCATGATTTGTTCTTTGACCCACTTATTATTTAGGATTTTACTGCTAAGACTCCATTTGGGTCTGTGCCCTACTGTGGTTCTTGAACCAATGCCTATTTTTATTGTGTTATGGTTTATAAAGGATGTATTGACTATTACTTCCTTTTTACAGTTGTTTGCAATATCAATTTTTGTCAAAGTATGAAGGGGTAAGTATATTCTTTTGCAATCCTGTTTAGAAAAAGCATAAGTCTTTTAACTAGTTTCTCTAGCAATTTGACAGCTCTGTATTTTTTTCCTTTTGCTTATGTTTTTGTTAGACTTATTCAAAACTGAGAGAGGGACATTCAGTTTTCCTGTAACTGTTATATTATTGTCTGTACATTGTAGTAGTTCAGTTAATATTTTTTTTATGAATTTGAATGCTAAGACATTTGGAGCATACATATTTAATACCAAAATTGGTTTGTTGTCTATGATTCCTTTCAACATTATGTGATTTCCTTATTTATTTTTTGAATGTTTGTTTTTACTTTGTCAGGCAGTATGATTGCAACTCTTGTGTTTATGGATTCATAGATAGGAAAAATGTTTTCTAGCCCTTAAGTTATATTTAATGTATGTCTTTGGTTTTCAAATGTTTCTTGAAAGCGATAGATTATGGGGTTTTGTTTTGTTTTCTAATCTGTCCCTCTTTTTTTCGAATTGTTTAATCATTCACAATTAAAATTATAAGTTAGTTTATATTTTCCTCCATTTGTCTCTAATATTAAGTGGTTTTCCCCCCAAGTTATACTTCCTTCTCTTTCATTGTAAGCACAATATTGTGTCTCCTTATTTAACTTTAGCTTAATCTTTTTAAGTTTGGTCCTATTTCCAATGATTCTCTTCTCCTTATACCCAATTTTTTCCATCCCATTTATTACTCCAAAGGAAAAGCCTTTGGAGTTTTGCTTATTAGTTCCTTTTCATTTTCTGTTTTTATCTTGTTATTTAATTTTTTTCCCTCTTTTTTCCTCTGGTGGTACAGTAGATTTCCATTTTCTTTCATTGTCTTAAACTACTGCTATTCATTGGTTTTTTAAAATTTTATTTTTGTATCCCTTTCCAGAGAGTATTTGTCATGCTTTTCATTTTCTTTCCTCCCAAAATTTATTGTTAATTTTTAGCATTCTTTTTTTTAAATTTTGAGTTCTGAATTCTCTCCTCTCCCCTACCCATTGTATAAACCAGAAATGTGATATCAATTATACATGTGAAATCATGTAAAACATACTTCTATATGTAATGTATAGAAAGTTCAAGAGACATAGTTTCTCAGCAGTGAATAATTTTATTAATTATGCTAATTAATAAAAGGGGTCAGTGGCACTTGTGAATGCCAGAGACCTTGCATGGAACCCACTCAATGCTTATATGCTTTTGCAAGAGTGTATTTTCCTGGGGGTGACGATCAACTCTGCTTCGTTAACAATTAATGAGAAGATTGAATATTATAATGAGAGGTGGACTCATTCTCATGAGGGGCTGGGCAACATGATTTTGATTACTCTTCCTTCCAGAACACCTCCCACTTTGTGCAATCTAGATAATGATCTACCTCCCACCCAAGCCTAAGTAGAACACAATGGGTTTTTCCACTTGAGTGAGTTCTGAACAAGATTGAGGAGAAAGTTAATCTAATGTCATTATCAGCAGTGTCCTTCAGATGTTTGACTTGACCCAGTATAAAATGAGAAAGGAAGGAAAAAACCCCTGGATCTTCTCAATAATTGGTTATCCAACAATCATTTCTCTCACATATTAGCCACGTTGCAAAAAAAAAAAAAAACAACCAAGAAAAATAAAATAAAAAAAAATTGTGCTTCAGTCTGCATTCAGACTATCAGTTCTTTCTCTGGTGGTAGATATCATTTTTCATCATAAGTCCTTTGGAGATGTTTTGGATCACTGTATTGATCAGTACGGCCAAGTCATTCACAGTTGATATTGCTGTTGCTGTGTGCAATGTTCTTCTGGTTCTGCTCACTTCCCTGTGTATCAGTTCATATAAATCTTCCTAGGTTTTTCTGAAACCATCTTGCTTATTATTTCTTACAGTACAATTGCTGTTTGGTCATTTTTCATTCATGTTAGACTGTTTGTGACCCCATTTGAGATTTGCTTGGCAAAGGTACTGGTGTGGTTTGCCATTTCCTTCTCCAACTCATTCTACAGATAAAGAAACTGTATTCCATCATAATCATATACCACAATTTGTTCAGCCATTCCTCAATTGATGGCCATCCCCTCATTTTTTAATTCTTTGCCACCACGAAAAGAGCTGATATATATAGTACATATAGGTCATTTTCCTTTGATCTCTTTGGGATACAGATCTAGAAGTGGTATTGTTAGGTCAAAGGGTATGCAATTTTATAGCACTTTGAGCATAGTTCTATATTGCTCTCTAGAATGGTTGGATCAGTTCACAATTCTACCAATAGTGCTTTAGTTTACCAATTTTTCTACATCCCCTCCAACATGTGTCATTTTCCTTTTCTATTATATTAGCCAATCTAATAAGTGTGAGGTGGCACGTCAGAGTTGTTTTATTTGCATTTCTCTAATCAATATGATTTAGAGCATTTTTTCATATGACTATAAATAGTTTTGATTTGTTCTTCTGAAAACTACCTGTTTGTATCTTATGACTATTAATTGGGGAATGGCTTTTATTTTTAAAAATTTGATCCAGTTCCCTATATATTTGAGAAATGAAGGCTTTTCAGAGAAACTTGCTGTAAATCACCCTCCGTGCCGGCCCTCCTTGCCCCCCTCCTCTGCCCCAAGTCTCCTGCTTTCCTTCTATTCTTGGCTGCATTTGAGGTTTTTTTGTGCAAAAACTTATAAATTTAATTTAATCAAAATTATCCATTTTACATCCTGTGATCCTTTCTATCTCTTGTTTGGTCGTAAATTTTTCCATTACCCATAGACCTGACAGTTCCATGCTCCCCAATTTGCTTATGTTATGAAATCACCATTTATGTCTAAATTATGTACCCATTTTGACCTTATTTTGTCATGAACTATGAGATGTTGGTCTATACTTAGTTTCTGCCAAACTGCTTTCCAGTTTTCTTAGCAATTTGTCAGATAGTTAATTCTTTCCCCATAACCTTGGATCCTTGGATTTATTAAACACTAGATTATTATGGTCATTTACTACTATATGTTGTGTATCTAAATCTATCCCACTGATCCACCAGTATTATTTCTGAGCCAGTACTAGTTTTTTTTTTTTAAACGATTACTACTTTATAATACATTTTGAGATCTGGTACTGCTAAGCCATCTTCTTTTACATTTTTTTTTTCGTTGTTTCCCTTGATATTCTTGACCTTTTGTTCTTCCAGATGAGTTTTGCTATTATTTTTTCTAGCTCTTTAAAATGATTTTTGGTAGTTTGAATAAGTAAATTAATTATTTTAATTTTTATTATATTGCCAGGCCTACCCATGAACAATTAATTTTTCTCCAATTGTTTAGATCTGTCTTTATTTGTGTGAAAAATGTTTTATAATTGTGCTCATATAATCCCTGAGTTTATATTGTCAGGTAGACTCCAAAATTTTTTATATTGTCTGCAGTTATTTTAAATGGAATTTCTCTTTCTATCTCTTGATGCTGGACTTTGTTGGTAATATAATGTAATGTTGATAATTTGTGTGGTTTTATTTTATATACTGCAAGTTTGCTGAAATTGTTAATTGTTTCAATTAGTTTTTAGAATTCTCTAGGATTCTCTAAGTATATCATATCATCTGCAAAGAGTGATAGTTTTGTTTCTTCATTGCCTATTCTAATTCCTGCAATTTCTTTTTCTTGTCTTATTGCTAGAACTAACATTTACAATACAATATTGAATAATGGTGGTGATAGTAGACATCCTTAGCTTCACCCCTGATCTTATTGGGAAGGCTTTTAGCTTATTACCATTCCAGATGGTACTCGTTGATGATTTTAGATAGATACTACTGATCATTTGCTCACTTATTCCTATGCTTTCTAGTATTTTTAGTAGGAATGATTGTTGCATTTCGTCAAAAGCTTTTTCTGATATTGAAATAATCATAAGCTTTTTGTTTTTGTTATTGACATGATCAATTATACTGATAGTTTTCCTAATGTTGAACTAGCCCTGCATTCCTGGTATAAATCCTACCTGTTCATAGTGTATGGTCTTTGTGATATATTGCTGTAATCTCCTTTCTAGCATTTTATTTAAATTTTTTTCATCAATATAATTTGATTTTCATCAAATCAATTCATTAATAGGGAAATTGGTACCATTTTCTTTCTCTGTTTTGACTCTCCCTTGCTTAGGTATCAGCGCTGTATCTGTATCATAAAAAGAAATTTGTTAGGATTACTTCTTTGCCTATTTTTCCAATTAGTTTATGCAGATTGGGATTAATTGTCCTTTAAGTATTTGGTAGAATTCATTTGTTAATCCATCTGGCCCTGGGAATTTTTTTCTTAGGGAGCTCATTGATGACTTGTTCAATTTCTTTTTCTAAGATACTGTTATTTAAATATTCTATTTCCTCTTCTGTTAATCTGGACAGTTTCTGTTTTCTTAAACATTCATCTATTTCACTTAAAATGTCATATTTATTGACATATAATTAGGCAAAATAGTTCCTAGTAATTTCTTTAATTTCATCTTCATCGGTGGCACATTTTTGATAAACTAGTTTTCTTTCTTTTTAAAAAAAATCAAATTAACCAATAGTTTACCTATTTTATTAGTTTTTTCATAAAACCTACTCTTAGTTTTATTTATTAGTTCAATGTTTTTCTTTCAATTTTATTAATCTTTCCTCTGATTTTTAGAATTTGCAATTTGGTGTTCAATTGGGGATTTAAATTTTTTTTTCTAGTTTTTTAAATTGTAAATCAAAAATTCCAAGGTAGTCATTTTGAGC